GTGTGACCCTACTCATAGTGTGACCCTACTCATAGTGTGACCCTACTCATAGTGTGACCCTACTCATAGTGTGACCCTACTCATAGTGTGACCCTGTGTAGGGTTCCCAAGAAGTGGCTGATAGGTGTGAACCACCAACCAACTTTGCAGTTCAAACCAACCTTGTGGTCCAGTGCTTATCCTACAGCATCACACTAGGGTTTCACTAGGAACCAGTATGTATTAACATGATGTACTAATTAATATAAATGCAAGAATGTGAGCTAAATTCTTGAAAATCAAAGGCATTGTTCTTGCTGTCTTGTGGCCTGGCCTTATCAGAATATTTGATATATTTGATTACTTTATGATAGCAAGTTTTAGCTGGCAGCAAAAATTAATGCCATCATCAGTTGTTTTATGTTGCTAATTATCATAGTTTTAGGAGATAGAAAATAATTATGGTTTATTCAGTCATCTTTGCTTTTTTTCATAATCTGTAGTTGTATTATTCATATCACTTTCAATTGCATTTCTCTTAAGTAGTTTGTTAATCTTATATAATTTCTTATAGTTTGCTTTTTATAGGCTACTGTTGTAAAAGCTTAGTGTAGTTGTTTTAAATCACCAAACCAAGACTTAATGATTTTAAAGGTGGCAGAGTAAAGATACTTGTGCCCTCTTGTATCTGAAATGACTCTGAAACATCAAGAAAAGTGAGAGAGATGTAAATACAACTTTAATGAGACTAGAAAATCTATGCTCTCAAATCAGAATTTTTGAGAAATAAGTGCCAAATGTAAGCAGAAAGAGATGGAAACAAAATGCTAGTAGAAAGATTTCTCAGAGCTGGCAAAGCAAAGAGAGCTAGGTCTTTTGTTTACAGTGGGATCAGGAAGCACAGGAGCTTCCTTGAACTGATTGGCAGCATAAACTAACAAGGAAGAAAGAATGCATGAGGAAGCACACAAATACAGTATGCACTCTCTAAGGCAAAGCGGACAGATTGTGAGTAACTGCGCTCTCGCCAACATCTGGAAGAAGTATCTATGGCTAAACAACTTGCTTTAGCTTATTTTCACACAAGCTTGCCCTTTTACATATATAAATGCACAAACACTGTTAAAAAGATAGTTCACATATTCTAGTTTAGAACATAGCCTTGCACAGTCCTCTTGCAGATAGTTGATCCAGAGAGAGCTCAAGTCATTCATAGATAAATCATGATAAAAAGAAAATGGGCAGTATCTACACAAAAGCACAACAAAAAGGAGAGAAGAAATGGGGAAAAACAGGTGAGAACCCATAAGCAAATTGTATTTGTCCTGAAATTTTAATCAGATTTCTTTAAAATAAGAGATGCAGTTAATTGGTTCAAGAACTAGAAAGAGACAGTAAGACAACTGGATATGGTGAATCAATCTGGCAGAGCTTAGCACAGGGAAGAAAGAAAAATAATACTTGAGAAATAAAGAGCCATATTGGAAGCAAAAGCAATTAATATTGTTGAAAACTCAGCAAAGACTTTAAAAAGGTGAACAACGTGAAGTAGGAATAAATGGTTCTAGAAATAAACATTTAAACATACAACTAAGAAAATTTTCCATAAGGTGAGAAATTTTGATTCTGTAGATGTAAAGAACATTCTGTAATTGAAGAAAAACTAATATACAATCATCAACACCAACACATATCCTAGTTTTTTTTAAAAAAATGGATTTCAGGGGTAAGTGAGTCCTTTCCTCATTCCATTAAAAAGATAAATATACTTATGCGGGGAAGTGGGGAAATCAGATATTGTCAAGGAAATAGTTAACTTACAGAACAACAGTTCCAAGACTATAAGTCACCAGGGAAACAAGTATAACCTCAGAGCTAAATTGTCAATGAACAACCAGTTTTAAGTTAACTACAAGGAGATGAATATTTGTTGTTTAGTGGTGGTGGTGATGGTTGTGTACCAGGGAGTCAGTTCCGATTCATAGTGACCCTGCTAGGGTTTCCAAGGATGTAAATCTTTACAGGAGCAGAAAGCTCTATCCTTCTCTCGCAGAACAGCTGGTAGTTTCGAACGCCCTAGTTGTTCAGGAGATGAGTAGAAAATGATGAAGCAAAAGCATTGGCAGTGAACATTTATTCCATTAACTTGCAGAATTAAGACCAGAATAACTGGGATTCATGGTTGTGGAATTGAAATAATAATAAGGTGATGAAATAACTAATAAAAGTCAAGATTAGAAAGGGAAAGAAAACAGGAGGTGGTATAAATTACTGATTTCTTATTGTATTGCTACAGAACAAAAGATATATAAAGCTTAAAAATCAAGTTAATAGGGATTTTAATGTATTTAAATGAATGAAAATAAGCATTTGAAGAGCTACACATATAGTTGGTTAATATATTTAACTAAAATCAGAAGCGAGAATGTAGAAGAAATGAAAGTATATGAAGTTTATTATCCTAAATAAATAATCAGATGAGACCAAAGATGAAAAACAAAATTGTTTATCCAGCTTTCTTTAGTATTGCAAAAAACTGGCAGCCTACATGTTATTGTTAAGTGCCATCAACTGGATTCTGACTCAACAGTAACCCTGTACAGGGTTTCCAAGAGCAGCTGGTGTGTTTGAACCACCACCTTGTGGTTCGTAGCCCAGTGCTTATCCTACAGAACCACAAAAGGATATTTATAAATATTGATTAGATCCTAGAACCCAAAGGAAATCTCAACATCAAAGATCGTGTTCCCTGAGCAAAAACTTTCTCAATTTCTTTTATGAGACTGGGTCTCTAAGTATGGTTTCTAGATATGCAGCATCAGCCCCACTTGGGAACTTTTCAGAAATGAAACTCAGGGGTCCTACCCCAGACATAGGAGTCTTTGGGTGGCACAGGTAATGAAATGCTTAGCTAGAAATTAAAATGTGGCTTCTAAAAGGTCACAGCCTTGACAATCTTAGGGAGCACAATTCTACTCTCCCCACATGGGGTCAGGTCACCATGAGGCTGAGTTGACTGCATGGCAGCTGGTTTACCCTGAGCCTACAGAATCAGAAACTGAAGGCAAAGCCCCGCAGCCTTGTTTTTATAAATACCCCATGTATGTTTTCATTTATTTGCAGTTGTTAAGAATACCATTATAAACAGCAGTCTTTGGTCTCATATCTGATTTTCATTATTTTTATAAATTATTTCTTTAAGATAGGAAATCACTAAGTCAAAGAATATTCTGTGGAGCTTTAAGTAAATTTTTCTTCTGTTTTTTTGTAGGTGAAAAGTCACAGATAGAAATATCTTTTTATTCAGAGGAAGCAATAAATACCTTTTTATTTGTATTCAAAAAAGATGAAAACAACTGAGTTACTTTCAAAATACAGCCAAATGAGCACTGTACACTAATGAGTAGAATCAATAAGAACGTGATTTTGGCCCTCTTAACGTTGACAAGTTCTGCGTTTCTGCTGTTTCAGTTGTACTACTACAAGTACTATTTGTCAGCAAAGGTAATTTTCTTTCTTCTCTCTCATCATTAGACTATTTTAGCTGTGTATTTTCCAAATCCTCTTTGCAGTACATAAAATTAATAACAGTATTTGAAATCCTTATAATAAAATTTATTACTGAAATTCTCTTCTTTCTGTAGGTGTGACAGCTAATCAAAATTGCAGTTAAATGTTATTGCAATAACACTTAAAATCCAAAGTGCCAAGTTTTGGTGATGTTTAATCTTTTGAAAATTTCTGATATAGTTATGTAAAAACTTGCTAAACAGATTATCCCTCATTTCGATGCAGTGGATGAAGCATCGTGCTCTTAGCAGAAAGGTCTGTCGTTTAAACCCATCAGCCCGTTTAAACCTATCAGCTACTCCTCATGAGAAAGATGAGGCAGTCTGCTTTCATAAAGATTTACAGCCTCAGAAACCCCCTGTCCTGTAGGGTCACTATGAGTCTGAATCAACTCTATGGCAGTGGGATTGGGTTTTTTGTTTTTTGTTACAAGCATAAAGTGGAGAGAAGAGTGGTTTTAAAACTCACAGTTCCTAGAGTTCTCACAGAAACTAAATCCAGTCCAGATAAGAAGTTCCAAAGTTGACAAGGTGTTGCTGAATTGTGAAAAGTTGTCAAAACACTCACACCAGGGTTTGTTATTATGATAATAACACAACACTCTGAGTTAGGAACTATTCTAGGTGCTTTGTGTGCTTGACTTAACGTTAAAAACAGCCCTGAGAAAATGAATAGACCACACACACACATTTAATAACCCTGCTGATTATGTGCCATGGAGTCAGTTCTGACTCATAGGGACCCTGCATAGGGTTTCCGAGGCGATAAATCTTTACCTTAGGTGATAGAAATACTCCTCAGAAGCAGTTGTTTGTTTCTCCTTCCCAATGAGGAAGTTCTGCTTCCCTGCGCTGTTGATGGTAGGCTTGACCATGAGACTTTTTTAAACTAGTAGAATGTTGACAGATGTATGCAGAGGCTTCAAATGGGCTGTTGAAGACTTTTACTCTTCTGACCTGCCAGGAGTAAAACATGCCTGGGTAGATGGTGTCCTTCCAACCCAGGCTCCTGAATGACATGTTGTTGTTGTGAACAACAAGGATCAGCTAAAGCTTTTTCATGATTTACGTCAGTTAATATAATTTGAATCTCTTGTTGCATACTTGTCTTTGAATTTACTAAAAGATTCTTTGGTTATTTTTTTAGAATGGAGCTGGCTTATCAAAATCCAAAGGAAGCCGAATTGGATTTGATAGCACACAGTGGGTATGTATAGTAAGCAAGAAATTGCTGGAAGTACAATCTTCCTTTAGTTAATTTATTGATATACTTGGTAAGTGTGTGTTGAATGATGAGAGTGCTAATGATTGACCTTGAAGGTGTGGCAGGGCAAATTGTAGGCCCTGTGCCAACTGCTTTACATGCTAGATCTCCTTAGGCCTTGTGGATACCTTAGGAAGAAGTGATGAGTCCAGATTCTAACTCTGCTTATCTAATCTACCACCAAAACCCTCATTTACTGTGGTACGGTGCTTTCCAAATGAATGAATATAGAAATCACAATTGAACTATGAATAACAAAAATAAAATAATGAATAAATTGTATTTTCACGCTTCCTTTGTAAAAAAGGAAACTAGCAATGTATACAGAGTCCTGGTGTGGCACTGTGGGTTAATGTGCTGGACTGCAAGGTTGGTTTGAACCACAAGGTTGGTGGTTCAAGCTCACCAGCTGCTCCTTGGAAACCCTATACAAGGTCTCTGTGAGTTGGAAGCAACTCAACAGCACACAACACCAACAAGCAATGTATACAGGTATCCTCCTTTTACTGTTTCTAGAGCCTGAACATTTGTAATACTTTTCACCTTTTTCTGACTAATTTATAAATGAAAACTGATGTTAGATTATTAATAAAAAATGAAATTCATTCTGCTAATATACATTATGAAAGCAACCAGACATTTTCACATCAGTGTACATAAACCTTTACTGTCTTTGTAACCAAGACATGAAAGACTTTAGATTAGACATAGCTTTCAAATAACCAAGCAGCTGTAAAATAGTGATCATTGTAGATCACTGCTGACACCAGCTGCACTTGAATCACTCTTTATAAGATAAAAGTCTGAGATAACCTATTACCAGGCTCTTCAGCTACTAGTCTACCAGGATCAATGTGAACTTTTAACTTGTGAAAAACAGCAAATGTTCTTGCTCTGTGAATTTAGGGTAATCCAAAGGTAAAGGTAAGCATTATGCACTTGGGATGTATACTCACACTTTAGGAATTTATAGTCATAGTTATAAAGACTTCCGTAGATTAACTAAAAAAGGATATTTTGTGCTTCTTTTTAGCCCTTCCCTACCTCTACCTACCCTTAAGAATTACATAGCTAAAATAGTAGTGGTAGTTGTCTGCCAATCAAGTCAGTTCTGACTCATAGCAACTTCAGTGTAGGGTTTCGGAAGCTGTAAATATGTGAGCAGAAAGCCTCATCTTTCTCCCCTGGATTGCCTGGTAGATTCAAACTACTAACCTTGCAGTTAGGCTGTCTAGCTCCTAATCCACTGTGCTACTAGGATTCCTTATACCTATAACTTGTTGTTAAATGCAGTTGAGTCGGTTCTGACTCCTAACAACCCTGAATAGATTTCTGAGGAGCAAATGGTGGGTTTGAACCGCTGATCTTGTGTTCCAGTGCACTATCTTGCAGCACCACACCATGACTCCATACTTATGATAGGTGAAATGATTTGAAATTCCGTTTTTTACCAGCTTGGAAATATGCCAGTCTGAAGGCAATGAGGATGCTCAGTCATAAATTTTAATATTTAAAAATTTGATGATCCTTACGATATTGTAAGTTTTTCAAGTTTGCTAATTATCAGGTGCCCTCTTATGCACTCAGAAAATGTTTTAAAGCCGTAGTAGATTCAGTGAGATAGACAATTTTGTTTGGACTTGATTTTCAAATATTAGATCAATGTAGTTGGTCATGTCATGTTTACCTTTTGTTGTTGTTAGTCTCTGGAATTTGTTTTCAGTACTTTGTTAAAAGAATTTTTGCATTTAATGAGAGATTGTGGTAAGTCACTCTTTTTGTAGTGTGTTTGTCGGGGTTTATTAGAATTATATTGATCTCATAAAACAAGTGTTTCTTTGTGCTAGGTATCTTGAAAGAGTATAGCATTGGCATTATTTCTTCCTTAAATTCTTCATAGAATTCTCCAGTGAAGCCATCTGAGTCTGGAGTTTGCTTGTTTGTTTTGTTTTAAATAACAAATCCGTTTTCTTTAGTAGCTATATGGCAATTTTTTGTTAGTCCTGTTGCATTTTTCAAGCATTTTGATGGTTTCATCTAAGTTGTTGAATTTTTTACCATAAGGTTGGGACAGAGATTATTGTGCTTTTAGCATTTTCACAATGTTCTCCACTAAAAGTAAGTGATGGAAGCTTAGCCCCTGGCTTTATCTCATTATTTTGCTAAACTTAAAGATTCTTGATAGCCTATCTTACAATTTTTTTATCTTGAATATGTTTTTGTAACTTCCTTTCAGTTTTGTGAATAAGAGGTTTGTTCTTAATTCCATCAAACACTTTTTTGCTGGGCATACTTCCCTTTGAAATCAATATTGCTTTCATTTAAAGTAGATTATTTTCAACAGTGTTACATACCAGTTATTCTGTTTACCTTTGCTACTTTTAGGAATTATATACTCTCCTGTGTGTGAGTTAATTCGTTTATATTCTAATTTTAAAATTAGAGTTTTCTGTATAATAAACTTTGTTTATACCCACCAGAATTTATATAAAATATTGGGGATATTACTAAAAAGTCAAACTGTATCTAAGAATGATTTAGCAGACAGTGTATTTTAGTTTGTTTTTTGTTTAGTTTTTTTTTAAAGATTACTAGCAGTATTAGGGAGTTCTAATGTGGTGCTGTAGGATCAGCACTAGACTTCAGACCACAAGGTCGGCAGTTCAAACCCACCAGCGGCTCCTAGGAAACACTGTACAGGGTCACTATGAGTCAGAACCGACTCGACGGCACTTAGCAACAACACCAAAGCAGTATTAGAACCCTGATGTGATGCTGTAGAATAAATGCTGGACTGGTAACCTGAAAAGTCAGCAGTTCAAACCCACCAGCTGCTCTCAGAGACCCTATACAGGGTTGTTGTGAGTCAGAACCAACTCAATGGCACACAACAACAACAACAAGCAGTATTAAGAAGCCCTGGTGATGCTATAGGATAAGTATTGGACTGCTAACCGGACACTCCACGTTCAAATCTACCAGACACTCCAAGGAAGAAAGATGATGCTTTCTGCTCCTGTAAAGATTTATAGCCTCGGATACGCTCTTCAGTGTTGCTATGTGTTGGAATAGACTCGATGGCAGTGGGTTTGGTGGTAGTGGTTATGTGCCGTGGAGTCGGTTCCTACTCATAACCACCCTGCATAGGGTTTCCGAGACTGTACATCTTTACGGGAGTGGAAAGCCTCATCTTTTTCCCACAGAACCACTGGTAGTTTTGAACTGCTGACCTTGAGATTAGCAGCCTGACTCGTAACCACTACTCTACCAGAGTTCCTTGGCAGTGGGTTTAAACAGTATTAAAAAGTGAAGAAAAATGGTACATGAAATTGATTTTGGTTTTGAAAGGGTCCACATGAAAGGTTGTTAAGAGCTGACAGACTTGGTGTTTCCTCTCATGCTTTTACTTGAGTAGATTTAGCTAATACTAAGAGAAGAGTTTTTAATTCCAGTTTTCATGCCAGATACGACTTCCTCGATGAAGATTTTCCTTTTTATGTGCAGTTAGCTTGTAGCTTATGTCCTGTATTAATATACTGTATACATTTTAATTTAAGCATATTTCATCTTTTATTATTATATATTTTCATCTTTCTCAGACTGTGTAATTCTTGAGTACAAGGACTATGAATTTTTGTTTGTTTTTTTAAATTATTTTAAAACTGATAATCATGGTAACTATTTGAGTGAACATGCTATATTTCTTTAAAAATGAATGAAAATGGATAAATTAGATTATTATTTTAGTGGAATTAAAGGACATTCTTTTCCTCTCAAACAGCATGCAGTTAAAAAATTTATTATGCTAACATCCAGCCAAAATGTACCAGTATTCCTAGTTGATCCATTGATTCTGGAAATGATTAATAAAAACTTTGAACAAAACAAAAATACTTCGTATGGGACCGTTTCAGACTGCAAGTTTTTCTGTGTTCCAAGAGACTTTACTGCATTTGCACTCCAAAATCACCTCTGGAAGAATGAGGTAAGATGATGTGCTTTCAGATAATGAAATACATGTCTTTACAAAATAGTATGGGCTTATCAGTTTAAAATATAAAACATTAAAGTCTTTTTTTTTTTTTTAATTTTTATTGTGAATTGAGTGATAGTTTACATGGGGGAACATCAGTTTGTTTCATTGCAATGATTACAATCCCCTGCATGATTCATTGTTCAACAGTATCTGCTTTTATTCCCTCTGGGTTTTTTTTTTTTTTTAGATGTGCACCAAAACACTCAGGAATATACAGTCATTCAAACAGCCAAAGGGCACACCCTGGCCACCAGCACACATCCCGTCTCCCTCCATGAGTCTAGAATCCTTAGCTGCTCCATCTCTCCATGTCATCATCTCTGCCTCCATCTCTGGTGTCTCCGCTTCTCTGGGTAGGGTCCCACACTCCGCTCCCCCTCTTGTCCCTTGATGGTCCCACGATCCTCTGCTCTGGGACTGTAAGATCAACCACTCACCCCTTTTGCTACAAAACTTCTACCTTTACAGTTGTGACTAAAGTCTTTTCTTAAACCTTTTTTTAATAATTTGTGTCAGGAACATAAAGGAGTTGCTCCATTCCCAGATGTAAGCTACAGGACACAATGAATAATGGCTTAAGCAAATCTACTTGGTTCTTCTCCTCGAACAAGAAGTTAAAAAGTTGGGGGCTGTTGGTATTAGTAGTAGAAGCTGCTGTTGTTGTTACATGCTATTGAGTCAGTGCTGATTCATATCCACCCTCTGCACAGCAGAGTGAAACATTGCCCAGTCATCCTCACAATTACTGTTAGGTCTGCGTGCGTTGTTGTGGCTGCTATGTCAATTCATCTCGTTGGGGGTCTTCTTTTTAACTAATCCTCCATTTTGCTAAGCACAAGGAGCTCTGGTAGCATAGTAGTTATGAATTGGTCTGCTAATCTCAAGGTCGGCAGTTTGAAACTACCAGTTGTTCCACGGGAGAAAGATGAGGCTTTCTGCTCCCATAAAGATTTGCAGCCTTGGAAACCCTGTGCACGGTCACCATGAGTTGGAACCGACTCGACATTACTTAACAACAACAACAGTGCCCTCCAAGGACTGGTCTCTCTAATATGTCCAAAGTCTGAGAGACAAAGTCTTGCTATCTTGGCTGCTGAGAAGCATTTTGGCTATACTTCCTCCAACACAGATTTGTTTCTTCTTCTGGCAGTCAATGGTACTTTTAATATTCTCCTCCAATACCGTAATTCAGATGCATCAGTTCTTCTATGGTATTCCTTTTTCATTGTCTAACTTTCACATTCCTATGAGGCCATTGAAGTAAAATACCATGGCTTGGGTCAGGTGTACCTACCTTAGTCATCAAACTGACATCTTTGCTCTTTAACACTTTAAAGTGTTCTTTTGTAGCATATTTGCCTGCTATATGTCATTTGATTTCTTGACTGCTGCTTTCATGAGTATTGATTGTGAATCCAAGCTAAATGAAGTCTTTGACAACTTTAATCTCTTCTCTGTTTATCATGATGTTATTTATTTAATGGTCCAATTGTGAGGATTTTCAGTCCATACTGAAAGCTGTAGGATATCATGATTGCCCCAAGCTTAGGTCAGTTTACTTAAGAGTGACCTGTGGCAGTTTCCTGGTCCATGGCTCCTTCTAGGCAGTATACAAATGATAAAACCAGTGCTTCCAAATGGCTCATTGTGGTTTAAATCCCTGCTGGGAATTTGCCTTTCCATCCTGCATATACTGAATCAGAATCTGTATTTTAACAAGATCCACAGGTGATTCTTACAGATCCCCAGGCAATTCTTAGGTATACATTTGAAGAAATTAAAAAAATACATACACACATACATGTATATAAATTGCCTGGGAGTCTTATTAAAATGTAGATTTTTATCTGTATTTCTGGGTCTGAAATGCAGATTTTCAGCAGGGAGGTCATGAACAGGTTCCATTACCAGGAGTGCTAATCACACCTCTGCCCTTCAAGAGAGGGCCCTTGCCTACTACTAACTAAGAATAGTCAGGTGAGGCAGGTTTTCCATAGGAGCAAAGGTTTATTGTAGGAAAGAGTCTGGGAGGGCTTAACTCAATGCTTAAAACACACACAGACACCCACACACCACCACCACCCCTTTCCTCAAACAAATTTTGGGAAATGGCATCATGTTTATTCATAAGAATAGCTGGGGATTTCCTGGAAATGGCTTATTTAGGAGGCACCATGCTAATTGGATGTATGGGCAGCATTTCTTCAAGATGGATTCCACCGTAAAGGCCTCTGGTAGGAGCAGAAAGAACTTATCCTGTGATGTTGAGTGTGCTTGGTTATTCAGGACTCTGGTTCAAACCTCTCCCAGGGACTGTTGTTCTCCTCTGCTCTGGTAGAAGGTTTGTCCTTTAAAGTTATGCCTAAGGGACTGGGTAAACTAGTTTGGCTTGTATCATCTGCATATCGCAAGTTGTTAGTGAGTCTTCCTCCAATCCTGATGCCACGTTTTTCTTCATATAACTCAGCTTCTCAGATTACTTGCTCAGCATACAGGTTGAATAAGTATAGTGAAGGAATACAACCCTGTCACACACCTTCCTTAGTGTTAACCATTCAGTGTTCCCATGTTCTGTTTGAACAACTGCCTCTTGGTCCATGTACAGATTCCTCATGAGCACAATTAAGTGTTCTGGATTACTCATACTTCGCAATATTGTCCATAGCTTGTCATGATCCCCACAGTCGAAAGCCTTTGCATAGTCAGTAAAGCCCAGCTAAACATCTTTTTTATATTCTCTGCTTTCAGCCAAAATCCACTGGACATCAGCAGTGATATCCGTCATTCCATGTCCTCTTCTAAATCCAGATTGAACCTCTGGAAGTTCTCTGCCAATGTATGCTTGTAGCCGTTTCTGTATCACCTTTAGTAAAACTTTACTCGCATGGGATATCAAAAAGATTGTCATCATTTCCGCACTCCACTGGGTCACCTCTCCTTGGATTGGGTACAAATTCGGATCTCTTTCAGTCAATTGGCCAGATAGTTGTCTTCCAAATTTCTTGGCATAGATGAGTTAGTGCCTCCAGTGCCACCTCACTTTCTTGAAAGATTTCAGTTTTTAATTCCATCAATTCCTGGTACCTTGTTCTTTGACAATTCCTTCAATGCACCTGGGACTTCTTCCTTCAGTATCATTGGCTCTTGATCAAATGCTACCTCTTGAAATGGTTGAACATCAACCATTTCCTTTAGGTACAGTGACTCTGTGTATTCCTTCCATCTTCTTTTAATGTTTTCCACATCATTCAGTAATTTGCCCAGAGAATCCTTCAATAACGAAAGTCAAGACTAGAATTTTTTCTTCAGTTTCCCCAGCTTGAGAAATGCTAAGCATGTTTTTCCTTTTTGGTTTTCTGATTCCAGATCTTTGCACATTTTGTTGTAATATTTGACTTTGTCTTCTTGAGCTGACCTTTGAAATTTTCTGTTCAGCTCCTGTATGTACCTCCTCATTTCTTCATTTGCTTTAGCGTTTCTACACTGGAGAGCAAGTTTCAGTGTCTCTTCTGACATCCATTTTGACCTTTTCCTTCTTTCTTGTCTTTTCAATGACTTTTTGCTTTCTTCATGCATGATGTTCTTGATGTCATTCCCCAACTCTTTTGGTCTTCAGTCTGTAGTGTTTAATGTATCAAATCTGTTCTTCAGATCATCTCTAAATTCAGGTGGAATATATTCATGGTTATATTTTGGCTCTCGTGGACTTGTTTACATTTTCTTCAGCTTCAGTTAGAATTTGCATATGAGCAATTGATGGTCTGTTTCACAATCTGTCCCTGGCCTTGTTTTGACTGATGAGCTAGAGCTTTTCCATCATTTCTTTCTGCAGATGTAGTCAATTTGATTTCTGTGTATTCCATCTGGTGAGGTCAATGTGTATAATTATTTCTTATGCTGTCCAAAGAAGGTATTTGAAATAAACAAATCATTGATTTTGCATAATTGCATCATTTCTATCACAATGGCCATATTTTCCAACTACTGATCCTTCCTCTTTGTTCCCAACCTTTGCATTCCAGTCACCAGTAATGATCAATACATCTTGATTGCATGTTTGATTGATTTCAGATTGAAGAAGTTGGTTGAATTCTTCTATTTCATCCTCACTGACTTTAGTAGTTGTTGCATAAATTTGAATAATAGTGGAATTAACTGGTCTTCCCTGTAGGTGCATGGATATTATCCTATCACAGACAGCATTGTACCTCATGACTGATCTGGATATGTTCTTTTTGACAATGAATGCAACCCCATTCCTCTTCACTTTGTCAATCCCGGCATAGTAATCCATGTGATTGTCAGATTCAAAATGGCCAATACCAGACTGTTACAGCCCATTAATGCCTAAGATGTCAGTGTTTATGTATTCCATTTCATTTTTGATAATTTCCAATTATCCTAGATTCATACTTCTTATATTCCATGTTCCAATTATTAATGGATGTTTACAGCTGTGTCTCGTTATTTTGAGTTGTGCCCCATCAACAAATGAAGGTCTCGCGGGCTTTACTCCCACCGGCTTTACTGCATTCCAGTTATCATGGTCAGCTCTACTTTGAGGAGGCAGCTCTTCTCCAGTCTCATTTTGAGTGCCTTCCAACCTGAGGGGTTCACTTTCACGCACTATGTCTGACAGTGTTCCTCTGCTATTCTTAAGGTTTTCAATGACTATTCGGAAGTAGTTCATCACTCCTTCTTGCTAGTCTGTCTTTGTCTGGAAGCTCATCTGAAACTTGTTCACCATGGGTGACCCTGAAGTATTTAAAATATTGGTGGCATAACTTCCAGAATCACAGCAACTAACAAGCCACCAAACTGACAGATGAGTGGTGGAATATATATAAAATATATATATTTTAAAAATAGTTCCTTGGAAATGTAAATTTCTATTCAAATGTAAAGTGTTCTAAAAATGGATAGTGTTTAACCATCTATGTAATATAGGCTGCTGAAATTAAATTAAAATCTACACCATATAAGTTGATTTTGTCACATGAAATTTATACTATAATGAATATTGTTGACAAATGCACCTTGTCTTACAGTCTGTTTTCTAGTGGGTTGCATTATGATGAGGTTTTATTATAATAACGGCTTAAGGTGTTAGGATATAAACTGAGGTAAAACCTTTTTTTTTTTAAAGTACTTCTGAAGATAAAGATTGTTATGTTACATTGAGAAATACAAGTTTAATATTAAATGCTATTCTTATATTGGCATTTACTTTTATAGGTATTAGCCAGAGAATTCTAATATGAATAAATAGAAGAAAATTTTCTTTTTTTTCATAAGAAGAGTCATTGAGCTTGTCTTCTGTGCTATATAGTTTCTCTTTTTATATTTTCCTTTATTCTACTACTACCACCTTCCCCTCCCCACTTAACCAAACTCACTGCCAGAGACTCGATTCCAACTCATAGCAACCCTCTAGAGAGTTTCCGAGGCTGGAACTCTTTATGGAAGCAGAAAGCCTTATCTTTCTCCCAAGGAGAAGCTGATGGCTTTGACCTGCTAGCCTTGTAGTTAGCAGGCCAGTGCTTATCTTAAAGTACCACCAGATGACTCGAATTCATTATCAGAGTCACTTAAGCTTTGCTATTAGTATTTGGCTTCAAATATTCAAGCTTGATGTTTCTTTGGCTTTAGGAAGGCTGGTTTCAGATAGCCGAGGATATGGGATTTCAGTGCCTAAAGATTCAGAGCAAAGATCCCCGGCTAGATGGAATAGATTCACTTTCTGGAACCGAAATCCCCCTGCACTATATCTGCAAATTGGCCACTCATGCCATCCACTTGGTGGTCTTTCATGAAAGGAGTGGCAACTACCTCTGGCATGGCCATCTACGACTCAAAGGACATATTGACAGGAAATTTGTTCCTTTTCGAAAGTTACAGTTTGGTCGTTATCCTGGAGCTTTTGACAGGTAAGTACAGAATCAAAAGGGGAAATATGAAACCTGTGTTCCAGTCCTGAATTCATGCAGTTTTTTTTTCACATGTACTGATGGACTGGTGAGGTGCTGCAGGTTAGCGCGTTAGACCGCAAGGTCGGTTTGAACCACGAGGTCAGCTGTTCAGTCTCACCAGCCTCTCCTTGAAAACCCTCTACAGGGTTACTGTGAGTCAGAACTGACTCAACAGCACTTAACAACAATGAACTAATGTAATTCACATAAACCAGTTTTGAAATGGAATATTTTATATATACTTCCTATGTACAAAAAAATGTATATGAGTATGTACTTAACTGGTAAAAATATTAAGAAAACTAAGGAAGTGATACCAGAAAATATAGAATAGGTGTCTCTAGAAAGGAAGGTGTGTGATTGATGCATGGATGTTCACTTTATAATTTAGTATTCTTTATCGTTATGTTTTACGCACTTTGCTGTATATTTTTTGAAAGCCATTTGCAAAAATATATGAGGGGCTTCAAACAGTTCATGGAAGAAATGAAATTAAAAGATAATGGAATTTTCCCACTAACTTTTGAAACCCCCTTGTGTATATATTGTTGTTAAATGCCATAGAATCTGTTCTGACTTATAACAACCGTGTATAGGGTTTCCAAACCTGTAAATCTTTGTTGAAACAGAAAATTCATCTTTCTCTCATGGGCACAAACCATTGACCTTGTGGTTCACAGTCCAGTATTTATCCTACAAGAGTCATGGTCTGATAATGAAAGTATTTCTCTGGTGAACAGTTATTTTATTATGTGAAGGGCTCATATAAAATTTGATGAGTTATGGCTTATGATTCTTTCAAGAAAATGAGGCAGCACAGAAGGCACTCACTCATCTCACTCACACAACTATCTGGCCACAGAAGAGATCCATATTTGTGCCCATTCCAAAGAGAGAGGTGACCCAATGGAATGCAGAAATCATCGGGCAATCTCTTTGATGTCCCATGCGAGTAAAGTTTTACTAAAGGTTATACAGAAACTGCTGCAAGCATACATTGACAGAGAATTTCCAGAGGTTCAAGCCAGATTCAGAAGAAGACATGGAATGAGGGATATCACTGCTGATGTCCAATGGATTTTGGCTGAAAGCAGAGAGTATCAGAAAGATATTCTGATATTCTGTGCTTTACTGACTACACAAAGGCTTTTGATTTTGTGTATTATGACAAGCTATGGACAACATTGTGAAGTGTGAGTATTCCAGAACCCTTAATTGTGTTCATGAGGAATCTGTGCATGGACCAAGAGGCAGTTGCTTAAACAGAACATGGAAACACTGAATCATTTAAAATTAAGAAACGTTTTTGACAAGGTTGTATTCTTTCACTGTACTTATTCAACCTGTATGCTGAGCAAATAATCCGAGAAGCTGGGTTATATGAAGAAAAACGTGGCATCAGGATTGGAGGAAGACTCATTAACAACCTGCGATATGCAGATGATACAACCTTGCTTGCTGAAAGTGAAGAGGACTTAAACCACTTACTGATGAAGATCAAAGATCACAGCCTTCAGTATGGATTACATCTCAATGTAAAGAAAACAAAAATACTCACCACTGAACCAATAAACAACATTCTTATTAATGGAGAAAAGATTGAAGTTGTCAAGGACTTCATTCTTCTTAAATCAACTATCAACACTTATGGAAGCAGCAGTCACGAAATCAGACGATGTACTGCATTAGGCAAATCTGCTGCACAAGACCTTTTTAAAGTGTTGAAGAGGAAACAGGTCAGCTTGAGGACTAAGGTACACCTGACCCCAGCCATGGTATTTTCAATAACCTCATATGCATGAGAAAGCTGGACAGTGAATAAGGAAGACCGTAGAAGAACTGATGCTTTTGAGTTATGGTGTTGGAAGAGAATATTGAAAGTGCCATTGGCTGCCAAAAGAACCAATATATCCCTTTTGGAAGAAGTGCAGCCAGAGTGCTCCTTGGAAGCCAAGATGGCCAAACTTCGTCTCTCATACTTTGAACATATTGTCAAGAGGGATCAGTCGCTGGAGAAGGATATCATGTTTGGTAAGGTGGAGGGTCTGAGAAAAAGAGGAAGATCCCCAGTGAGATGGATTGGCCAAGTGGCAGCATTGATGGACTCAAGCGTGGCAACAATAGTGAAGTTAGCCCAGGATCGGGCAGTGTTTTTTTCTGCTGTGCATGGGGTCGCTATGAGTCGGTACCGACTCAATGTTACCTAACAAAAAAACACACAATGGTTTATGATATTAACAATTACGGGATGAAAAATGCATTCTTTTTTTTAAACAATAGTATTTTGTTGTGTTTTTTGAAAGCTTATACAGAAAATTGGATTTGCATTTAACAATTTCTATATAACTTGTTCAGTGACATTGGTTATATTTTTAAAACAAACAGTTTGTCATTTTCTCATTATTTCTGTTCTGGTAGTTTTGTTTCCATTAGTCTAGTTTCCTTGCCTACGTACCCACCTTCTTATTTTTGCTTTTGGGTAAATAATGATCATTTGGTTTCACATATAAATGTAGCAGCTCTGATAGTGTAGTGGTTACGAATTGGGCTGCGAACCTTAAGAGCAGCAGTTTGAGACTACCAGCTGTTCGGTGGGAGAAAGATGAGACTTTTTGCTCCTGTAAAGATTTACAGCCTCTGAAACTCTGTGCAAGCTCACTATGAGTATGAACCAACTCCACTGTACATCATGACGACAATGGCGATACTCATGAGGGATATTTTTTATATTGTGTACCAATCTGTTATTTACCTAAAAGGAAAAAGACATTCTTGAAGTTTAAAACATTGAGGCAGCAGTTTCTAACTTAGAATTCTACTTCTATTTCTTTTTGTAGTCACTAATAGTGTGGTGCTGTGGGTTAATGTGCTGGACTGCAAGATCAGTTTGAACTGCAAGGTTGGTGGTTCAAGCTCACCAGCTGCTTCTCAGAAACCCTGTACATGATCACTGTGGGTCAGAACCGACTTGATGGCACTTAACCATCACCACAGCAATAGTGATCCAGCAATATGTTTTACATATGAGAGCCTGATTTGAAAGCAGTAATAAACATTTCCTTCTATCAGACTTGTAAGATTTTTCAACTACCAGAGGGACGGACATTGCGTATATGTTACACTCGAGAAGTGTAAGAGTGTTTTTATTCTTATCTTCTTATTAGTCCTTAAAAACCACTTATTTGAATCCAAAGAATTGCCAAATGAATAGTAAACACAAGGTGTGAGGAAAAGTGGTGCTGAGCATGGTTTTCCTTCTCCTCTCCCTTTCACACACTCTGCCCCAGCACCTAGTAGAAAGAAAAGACCGTGAACGCTCTCAGGAGTAGTGCACAAGTGGAGAAGAAAACAAGGAGACAAAAAAAAAAATCACTTGATTGAGAAACAACTCAAAACTAGGTATTCAAAACTAGGCCTTTCTACATTTTTTGTATATATGCAGTCAAAGATTTTCTGGTCCAAGCCAGATATTAGCAATAAAATAGCCCAAAAAGGAAAGGGAATGATAGAATACTTTGTTGTCAATCTTAATTCTTTTCATTAATTATCTTAGTCAAAATCTTAGTACCCACTTTTTTCTGACCCACTTGTGTGCGTATGTTTTGTATGTGACTTGGGGAGCGCGTTGGTTCTATAGAATAAGTACTGGGCTTCGAACCACAAGGTCATGCTTCAGTTAGAAAGCTGAGGCTGGCTGCACTCACAAAGCTTTACAGCCTCGTTCATCCTATGCAGTGTCTTTATGAGTCGGGATCAACTCTTTGGCACTTAACAACAACAATATGTCAGTGGAGGAGCCTAGGATAAACACTGGACTGCCAACCACAAAGTCTGCAGCTCAAACCCACCGGTTTGACCTTCTGCTTCCATAAAGATTTACAGCCTCGGAAATCCGTTCCAGGGTCGCTGTGATCCAAATCGACTCAGTGCCAATGGCTGTCAAGTAACTTCCTTAGGAAGACATGGTCTTTAAAATATCTAGAGCTTTGGAAATTTATTTCAAAGTTTAGTTAATAATTCAGTAGGATTCAAAAATTGTCTATCAGTAAGTAAATATTTGTTAAGCATTGTTGTTGTTTTTATTGTTAATTGCTGTTGAGTTGGTTCCAACTCATAACGATCCTGTATAGGGTTTCTGAGAATTGGCTGGTGAATTTGAACTGCCGACCTGGGGTTTTAAACCAACCTTGCAGTCCAGTGCTTATCCTACAGCACCACATGTGTATAATTCCCTAGGAAAAAAATTACATATCTGTATCATACAATTTTATATATAGAAGATTGGGAAACTCACAAAGAATATTTATGGAATATGGAATTCAAAATATATGACTGATTCCCAGGTTAACATTTTGCTCAATTAATGAGACTGTCTCTCAGGCTGTTATAATTTACTCACATGTCTGAAGTGTTAAAAATATTTACTTCTCTAAAAGTAAGTAGTTTAACTTTCCATTCTGCCTGAAACATCAAGCTATATATGACTAAATTAAAAAAAAATTTTAAAATACATTAACCAAAATTCTTAAAACTCTTTTGCTATTTGATGCCTAATTATCAAGGTCGTATTACAGTTGCTTATTGATATCTAAGGCGGTAGTGGTGGTGTGCTGTGAAATCTGTTCCAACTGATAGCGACCCTGAATAGGGTTTCTGAGGCTGTAAATTTTTATAGGAGTAGAAAGCCTCATTTTCTCCCATGGAACAGCAGGTAGTTTTGAACTGCTGACCCTGAAGTCAGCAGCCAACTTGTAACCACTACACTACCAGAGCAGAGCTCCTTGATATCTAAGGTAGTTGAAGAAAATATACTTGATGTTTAGCTATTTTGCTGATGTTTGACATTTTAAAGAGGCTGTGTCAATATTCTAGTTTAAATTTTGATAAAAAATCCTAACTTTTTTTCAGACCAGACTTACAACACATTACCATTGATGGATTAGAAGTTCAAATTCCAAAAGATCCAGTGCACTTTCTTGAAGAAATACCACACTCTAGGTTTATTGAGTGTCGGTATAAAGAAGCTCGAGCATTCTTTCAGGTTAGTGGTAACCAAATAGTGAGCTTTTTATATTGAAATATTGTGTTTACATTTAGTATATCTGGAAGGGAAGTGAAGAGACTCCTGGAAAATAGATAAAAACAGGGTTTTTTTGTATTTACTTCTTTTTCCCTAGGTTGTTTGTCTGATTCTTAAAAATGTAGATCAGAATTGACTTATGAACCTACCTCTACCCTAATTGAATGGTTTGATATTCATAGATATTGTTTCATATGAGTTATTATAAATGTAGAATGTTTCATATGTTTCTCTCTTTGATAAGAAGATAACCAGTAATCTTGGTTAGCCTCTGTCTTTAGTTAGATGATCCATAAACTTTATAAAAGGCAGTTTATTCTGTTTTTGAAGCAATCCAAGTAGGATGAAACCATGTATGTAGGTTTAGAAAATTTTATGGAAAATAAAGTTTTTCTCAGAAAGTTGGCACTAAATATGAGTTCTTTGTTATTTATGAAGGTTTTTGAAGATAAATGCTACACAAAGACCAAGTGCTTTTGAACTTTACTTTTTCTCACTGCCCTGGCTTTCAATTCAATAAACATTTATTGAAAACCTGTTTCACAGGAACTCTGCTCATAGAGGGGATATAAAGATGATTTTGAAGGGCATGAATGTTCCGCTCTAAGAGATGATAAGAAACAGACCTGGTAAAAACAGGTAGATTTACAGTGGGGTTTTGTACCCTAAATCTTCCACTTCTCCTTTATTTACTAGAGTCCCCTGTCAAGGATTTTGTATACATAGGAGGAGAGCAAAATGGGAAAATGAAGTACCAGCTTGATTATCTGTCAGCCAAGTGCCCTAGATCCACAAATGTAAGGTCTCTGGTAAGCTGTGCTGGCTTCCAAGGCCTATATCTGGCAAACTTCCTGAAATCTGTATTGTGGGGCTGCATACTTAGCCACCCTCATGAATGAGAAGCCAGAGAACATCTTGTGTGGATGGGCCACTCTGGTAGGGAAGTGCAGTCCAGTAATACCTTCACCACATGATGACAGGAAGCAGATGAGATACAGTTTGGTGCCTGAACTCAACCACTTACTCTTCCTGCCTTAAAGGAGTCTGTTCTGGTTGCCACGTTTGTCCTAGCAGGTAGTCCGCCTTTTCCCCCACTTGATTACCAGAACTTCCTGATGACAGGCATCTTGTTTTACTCCCCTCTGTACCCTGGCAAAAGAAAAAGATAAATGTAGGGAGCATAAGATGCTCATCTGAGTCAAATGAGTTTTAAAGACATTTACTAGCGTCAGCAGTTTGAAACTCCCAGCTGTTCTGCGGGAGAAAGATGAGGCTTTCTGCTCCCGTAAAGATTTACAACCTAGGAAACCCTGTACAGGGTCGCTATGGGTCGGAACTGACTCGACAGCACATAACAACAACAACTCCATTATTATTTAAGGAGCTCTGGTAGTGTAGTGGTTACAAATCGGCCTGCTAACCTCAAGGTTGGCAGTTTGAAACTACCAGTGGTTCCGCAGGAGAAAGATGAGGCGTTCTGCTCCCATAAAGATTTACAGCCTCAGAAACCCTGTGCAGGGTCACTATGAGTTGGAACTGACTCCACAGTACTTAACAACTCCATTATTTAGACTTCTGGTGTAGTACTGTAGGATAAGCAGTAGACTGTGATGCACAAGGTTGGCAGTTCAAACCCACCTGAGAAACCCTATGCAGGGTTACTGTGAATCTAACTGACTCAAGGTGCTTAACAACAACAACCCCATTATTTAGCAGGTATTTGCCCAGACTCGTTTTGTTGATCTTTGTAAGAAGATAGTATAAAATACAAAATGTTCCAAAATACTGACAAAATCATGAGGATACATCATATATGTTCATTTCATTATTTTCACTATTGTTTTTTATTTAAAGGGCAAGCACTTGAGTAAAGTTATGAGTGACAGATGCTCAAAAAGCTTACCATAAGCTTATCATAAGCTCATAATTTTGGTGTTGAAAGTACTGTCAAATAGTAGACTATACTGCTGTTTGGAGGTTTATATTCATAGCAGATCAGGTGGGACGTTATATCTCTCCCTCATCATGTTATTCTGTATCCTTAACTTGTAACAAGGCAGACTTGTGATTTTTAATTTTTCTCCCCTCATATTACTAATATAGAATGTAGAATGGGATTTATGATCTTTTTAATCATTATTCTTTTAAATATTTCATTCTTTACCATTTGTGTTAAAACCATGGTTGAAAATACCAGGTCAGTTTTCAAATTAAAGTGGACATATATCACTTTGAACACTTGATGGCGCCAAACAGTCTTAATGCAACACAAGCAATGGATTATAGATCACATAGAGCAGCTTCGTAACACTGCTTTTTTCTGATAATTTTTTGAAGCAACCTCAAACTTAGAGAAAAGTTTTAAGTATATTGCAAATAACTTTATTTCCCCTGAACTACCTTCTACCTTCTTCCACTGCCATTTTCATAGTCCCTTTGCCCTCAGCAAGAACTGAAGCTGATTGTGGGTGTTTGCCTGGTAGATTGACCCTAATCAATCCCTCAACTAGTTAAGTATTTAAAAAAAAATTAGCCTGCATAAATTGGGAATGCAAAAGTCTAGTATTAATATAAGCTAATGCCATATATGGGGTCCTGGTGTAGTGCTATGGGTTAATGCGCTGTACTGCAAAGCTAGTTGAACTACAAGGTAGATGGTTCAGGGTCAACATCTGCTCCTTTTAAACCCTATACAGTGTCACTATAGGTCAGAACTGATGACCAACAATACCATAAAGGTTTTCTGGTGTGGTTCTTAGGATAAGCACTGGACTGCTAACTGAAAGATTGGCAGTTCAAACCTACATGGTTTCTATGAGTCGGAACTGAGTTGAAGGCACTTAGCAACAAGGAACAATGCCATATAATCCTCATTCACATTTTCCTAATTGCTCCAATAATGACTTTCTGATAAAAGGGTTCAGTTTAGAATCCTGCAGCTAATTCTCCTATTTCTTTAGTCGTCTTCCATCTGGAACAGTTTCTTAGTCTTTGTTTTTGATTTTACATTTATGATTCATAAACTTGAAGATTATAGTCAAGATAATTTGTGGAATTTGAATTTATCTGGTTTTTCCTCATGTTAGACTCATGTTGTTATATATCTTTAGTGGGGAAAACACCAACAGTGATTCTGTGCTCTTCTATTCTATTATTCCCTTTCAGGTGAAGCTTTTTTTTTTTTTATCATCGCTACTGATAGTCATATTGATCACTTGGTTAAACTGATGTCTACTAATATAATCTCTGTGAAGTTACTGTTTTTCCCTTTGTAATTAAGAAGTGTTTTGTGTGAAGATATTTTGACCTTTAATTAGAAAGGTCATTTCTTTATCAAACTTTAAATTATATATTTATTTGTTTATAATGTATGAACTTTGGTTTCTAGTTTTAATCCATTGGGTTATAGTCCATAATTATGTTCATTGTTTGGAGCCCTGGTGTGGCACTGTGGGTTAATGTGCTGGACTGCAAAGCCTCTTTGAACCACATGGTCGGCATTTCAGGCTCACCAGCCACTCCTTGGAAATCCTTTACAGGGTTGATATGGGTTGGAACCGATTCAACAGCACTTAACAACAACAAAAACAATCTTCATCATTTATTTTGATCCTGAAATTGCTCCATATTTGGCAAGTGGAAACCTTTTTACAATGTCTCCCATTCTTTTTTTTCTTGTCTCCATTGCACTGTGGAATAATGCACTGGACCACAAGGTTGGTTTGAACCATAAGGTCAGGCATTCAGATTCATCAGCCACTCCTGGGAAATGCTATACAGGATTACTAAGAGTCGGAACTGACTCAATGGCACTTAACAACAACAATAATCATTCTTTGAGGACTTTCTTGCTCTTTGGTATAATGGCGTAGTCTAGTTTCATCTTGGAATTCCCTGTTCTATCCCTAGGATCAGCTATTTCTCCAAGTCTTGGCTCCTTTTAGAAACCAAGGTCTGTATGCCAAGTTGCTCAATGCTATTTCAGTATTGCTGCACACAGGCCATTTCACTAAACAGGTGTAGTATGCGTGTGCATAACACACATAAAATACTGAAGTCTATAATTCACATCAATATCTCCATTTTCAATAAACACCATGGTTTTTTCCTAGTTTTTACATTTCCCTATTTGTGACTTCCTTCTCCAACACTGAGAGTCTGACATCCATGATCTTTAATATGTTTACTTGTCTGTTCAGTCTCCTAGAATGTAACCAATCTCCTTTCGCTACTGTTTCCCCCTTACCCATGTCGATTCTTTTCTCACCTGACTTCTTGTTGTTGTTAAATGCCGTAGAGTTGATTCCGACCCATAGCGACCCTGTATAGGGTTTCCAAGGAGGAGCTGGTGAACCTGAATTACCGATTTTGCAGTTCAAACAACTTTGCAGTCTGATGCATTAGACCACAGCACCACACCAGGACTCCTAAATTACAGATGAGGAAATTAAGTGTCAGAAAGATTTGTTTATTTTTTTATTTTGTGATCCATTCAACAGATAGGCCCTGTTCTCATAGCACTTACATTCTTCTGGAGTGTTGTGCCCAGGATCACATAGCTAAAAAGTTGAGCTAGGATTGAACACAGATATGCTGATTCAAAACCTCATCTTTTTTCTGTGGTACAAGGGTGGCTTCAAAACCTTCATGGAAAAATGGAATTGTTCCACAACCTTAGTGAAGCCCCCTCATACTTTATGGACTCCTGGGGTGGCACTGTAGGATCAGCACTGGACTGTGAACCTCAGGGTTGGCAGTTCAAACCTACTAGCCCCTCTTCAGAAACCCACATAGGGTCAAGATGTTGGAACCAACTCAACAGCGCTTTACAACAACAGTACACTTCATAGTTCTTTTTATTTTTTAAATTTTTATTGTAAATTGAGTGATAGTTACATGGGAGTGCATCGGACTTATAGTCATCATTTATTGCAGTGATTACAGTTTCCTCTGAGCACATCATTCAACAGTGTTTGCTTCTATTCCTTTTGTTTTGTTTTATTTTGTGTTTTTTTTTCGTTTTTTTTTTTTTTTGGGGGGGGGGCTTGTACACAAAAACACTCAGGATTATATAATCATTTAAACAACCAAAGGGCATATTCCGTAAGCCTGCATCCTGGTTGCCAACACTCAGTCCCTCTTTTTCCATGAGTCTTGCGTCCTCAGCTGCTCTCTCTCTCCATGTCCTCATCTCTGCCTCTGTCTCTGGTGTCGCTGCCTCTCTAGATAGGGTCCCATATTTTGCTCATGCTCTTCTCCCTTGATGGTCCTAGGGTCCTCTTTTTCTGGACTGTAAGATTAACTACTCCCCTGTTTTTGTTACAAAACTTCTACCTTTACAGTTGTAACATTCGCAATTAGTCATGGTAACGATCACTCACTATTGAATCATCAGAAACTTATCCCCATCTCTTTTCACCAGACCCATCTAGTCATGATGAAAACTATTCAGTGGGGACTCTGTCTTCTCCCACACACACTTAAACTAAACTCCCTCTTGAAAACTTGTAAGCCAGTCACTTCGTGCCTTTATCAACCCCTCATCTTAGGTAGCCATTGTCTAAGTTGCCCATCCCTATCTATCCTGCATACACAGGAAATAGGATTGATAGTTGATATGAAGATGCCTTCCCTCTCAGTTGATATTTTGAGCTACTACATTGTTAAGTATAGGTCAAGTTCATAAAATTGTAGCAATTTACACTTGTTTACTTTATCAAAAATTGTTTTTTTTTTTTTTTTTTTTAATTTTTTCCTTTAGTTGAGTTCTGATCATCAAGCCATTGAGGCCAGGTCAAATGGGTACCATCTGCAAGTTTGGGCATTCTTGTGCATCTTCCTCGAGTTCTGATCATCAAACCATTGAGAATAGGTCAAATGGGTACTATCTGTAGGTTTGGGTGTTCTTGTGCATCTTCCTTCATTTCAGCTGGATGCTTTACTCTGAGCTCTAGCCCTCTGTGGCTGTGCTCTTGTCCATGGGCTCAAGTGTCCCCAGGTCTCACCACACTTTGGACCAACCAGCCCTTCCTCTTCTTTTTTTCATCTCCAGGTCAACGGGAGTCTAGGGGACATGGTATAACTCAGCCCACATCTTCATTGCTGCCTTTCCCCCTCTTCCACTCACCGGTAGACCAATGTGGTTGCCAGCAAGCTTACATGCCTGCTCATATGTTCCCTTTGAGTTTCAGTCTTGGAGAGGGGTTTGCTCTGAAGGGTCTTGATTGCTTGTCTTGATGACTCCCCGGTGTACTTCATAGTCTTTTGTAAACCCACTAATGTAGCATCAGAGTCCTGGTGTGGTGCCATAGAATAAACACTGGATCACAAGTTAGTTTGAACTGCAAGACTGGTGGTTCAAACTCACTAGCTTCTTGGAAACCGTATTCAGGATGGCTGTGAATTGGAACCTATTCAATGGCACTTAACAACAAAAACAATATAGCTTCAATGAATGATGAAAATGTCATTATAGTGTAGTTTGCTGCAGCTGTACTTGTTCTAATGATTACCTTCTATCCCCCTAACTGCCCAATTTACTAAAGTATAACATAGAGGAAGGAGCTGAAAAAGGTGTAAATCACATTCTCTGAGAATCCTGATTATATTCCCTTACCTATAACTCGTCTCTCATAGCTTCTAGTCCTATATGCCTTTTTTTTTTAAGTGTGACTAACAAGGAGGTATAAAACTTACTGTTTTTCTCATTTGTGTTATTTCTTTTACAAAACTTGATTTTTGTAATAAAAAGATAAAAGAAAATGTTTAATTTTAAATTTTAATTTAAACGTTACAGAAGTGCTTCTAGCAATTTAGATATGGCTGTAATTGCTGATCATTTATTATATCTGTAGCAGTACCTCGATGATAACACTGTGGAAGCTATGGTCTTTCGGAAGAGCGCAAAGGAATTGTTGCAATTGGCAGCCAAAACATTAAAGAAACTGGGAGTACGATTCTGGCTGAGCAGTGGCACTTGTCTGGGTAAAATTCTCATTACTTTCTTTATATTTGTCACTTTGACTTTAGGGATAACTGCTTGAAATGAGAAAATATTAGTGATATATTCTAAGTATTGGAGTCCTGGTGTGGCGCTGGCTGAGGGTTAATGTGCTGGACTGCAAGGTCTGTTTAAATCTCAAGATTGGTGGTTCAGGATCACCAGCTGTTCCTCAGAAACTATACAGGATTGCTGTGAGTTGGAATTGACTCTACAGCACTTAACAAAAACAACAACAACATTCTACGTGTTACTGTTTTAGACAGAATATTAATGCATGGAACAAGGATTCTTTGTCCTTTTAGTGTATTGTATATATGTGAAATCTTATTATTAATCATCTGAATTTCTAATCACAGGTTTTATATTATTTAAAATTTGCATTTATTTTATCTGCTTGTTTTTGTTTTCCTGAATTCTTTTAAAGTTTTTCTGTGTTCTTTTTTCTTACTTTCCTTGATCTTTCTGTTAATCCTTTGAAGGTACCTAAATATAAGTCTTAATTAGACATTTTATAAATGATTTTCTCTTGTTTCTTCATGTGAGCTGAAATTGCCTGTTGCCATCAGGGCATTGTGGTGTTTTTATATTTGTATATAGTTGATGTTTGATATGTTGTTAGGCTCTCATCAACTGCCCTTTGTGGATGTAGCTAGGAATGGAAACATTCTTGTTTACCATTCTTGTGCCTCAGCTTAGGGTGGGTTTGCTGATGGTGGCTACTACCTATTGTTGATTGTGGCATAGGAACTGGTATTCACTCTTGTCTAGTGGTTGGAGCTGCAGAGGGTATGGTCGTAGTTGGGCTGTATGGGCACAGTTGCTGTTTCCTGTCAGAATAAATAAATTAGGAACCAACAATGAAAAGAGAAAATAATAAAGAGGAAAAAAGAAAAACATGCAGCACCCAGAAGAAAAGAGTATAATAAGTATAAAGACAAAAGAGGGACAGAGAAATGGAACTATCGAAGAGAAAAGGAAGCGGCAAAAAAAAGACACAAGAATGACTAAAAGGAAAAAAGAGTGCCTGGAAAATAGATAATAGAAAAAAAAAACAAGAGAGGAAATACAAGAAAGAAATTTTATAAATACTTAGGGAAGAAAACCAGGGAGAGGGAAGATGAATAGAGAAAGAGAGTAATAAAGATTTAAAGGGGGGGAGGGGGAAGAAGAAGAGGGGAAATGAGGAATAGTAGAAAAGAAGGAAAAACAAAAGTGGAGGCAGAAAGGATAAAATTCAGGGGAATGGTACATGGAGGGGATTATAACCATTGTAATGAAACAAAGCATATGATTTGTTGAATGTAAAACTGATGATCTGCCCTGTAAACTTTCACTCAATTCACAGTAAAAACTTTAAAAAAAGAAAAGAAAAAAAAAGTCAAGGGAATGGCAAGAGAAGACTGAGGAGAAAGAGTAAGCAAACAAAAACAATGAAACAACAAAAGGAAACAAAACAAGCAAATACCAGTCTAGGGGTTGGACCAGAGAGAAGAAAACTTGGGTGGGCTCCTGCAAGCCAAGGAGCTCACAAAGGGGGTAAAGGAGGGATGTGACAGCAGAGTCACTAGCCCTAGACGGAGTTCCTACCGGCCTCAGGGTTAGGACATCAATCTAGAAGTAGTTTGTGCAGACCCTTGATGGAGCTTCAGTGCGTTAGGACCACAGGGCATGTAGGGGCAGAGTGACCTGTTAAATACTGTCTGGTGGCTTTGCAGATTCTGTAGATCTGGAGCCAACCCCACCTGACTCCAGGCACCAAAATGGAACACCAAAGCGGTGTCGCTGGCTCGCGCCTCACACTGATATGGTTCCCAACCACATGGCTCTGAATCCCAGGAGAGCAGGGTCTGAGCTGGCCACACCTCATCCAGCTGGTCACCAAGGGAGTGTGTAAAATAAAGAATGTCACCTTTCCCATCACACCTTCTGTTGCAATTGCAGAAGTTCAAGATGTATACCCTACATCTGGCCAGTCAATCACCACTCAAGTCTCTCTCTCCATATACACATTATTTATGTGATATATGTTTAACTTCTTATAAACGAAATGGTTTTATGGAATGTATAATCAAAATAATTCTTCATTATTTGTTTTTTGTTTTCTTGATTTAAGGGTCATTTATGTCATAAGGGACTTCTGTTTGTATTCAATTATATTTAAAGCTCTTTCCATTTTTAATAGGTTGTGATTTTTATATGGATTACTTCAACAAAATTAGGAAAGCATGTCTGTAAGCTTTTCTCAAACTAGAGGTGGGACCACATCCTAGACCTCTTTAAGATCTATTACTATTTAAAAATATAATCCAGTAGTTAGAATTCTTGACATTATTGCTCTATAGCAATGCCTATAACGCTAACATAGACATTTTACTTTATGAAATAGTCTATTTTTTAAAGTAAGTTTACATTTATAGAAAAATTATGTAGAAAGTACAGAGAGTTCTCATATATCCCTTCTCCCTGCTACCCACAGGTTTTCGGGGGGGGGGGAGGTTTGGGTGGGGAGGCATTTGTTACAGTTGATGGACTAAAATTGCTACATTATTTTAAATAAAGTTCATCGCGTACACCAGGGTTTACTTGTTGTGTTGTACAGAACTATGGGTTTTGACAAATGCATGGTGTCTTCTGTCTACCAGTGAAGTTTGTTTTCATTGAATAGTTTTCTCCCCCCATTTATGTACTTTTGAAATTATTTGAATGGGAGAATTAGAAGGATAATGGGAGAGACTCAGGAGCCTTTAGTAGAATTATGGTATACATTTTATTTTTGGAGAGCAATGCTGTAGCATCTAATTGAGAAATAGATACATAGTTGTTGTTATGTGCCATGGAGTCGGTTCTGACTCATAGCGACTCTGCATGGGGTTTCCAAGGCTGTAAATCTTTACAGGAACAGAAAGCCTCATCTTTCTTCACGGAACAGCTGGTAGTTTAGAACTGCTGACCCTGAGGTTAGCAGCCTGATTCATAACCACTATACTACCAAAGCTCCTCAGATACATAGTAAACACCTAGAACAGCTCTGAATAGTTTATTTCTTCTGAGTCTTATTTAGTAACCTCAATTTTTCAATACACTGTAGAACTATGTTTATTTCGACAGTGTATTGAAAAATTGAGGTTACTAAATAAGACTCAGAAGAAATAAACTACTCAGACCTGTCAGGTTCTAAAAAATTACTGCACAGCAAAGAGAATTGATTATGCTAAAATAATTCAATTATATATTTTTAGCAGGTCTTAAAAACAGCCTCCGTCTTTAGAGTTTAATGAGTAAACACTCAACAGTAACTTCAGGTATTTTAAATGGATAGACCAGCTAACATTACAAAAGCTCATGCATCATTCAAAAATGAAAATACATACACCATCAACTTTTTTGAGGCAGTTAAGTGCTCAGACCAGTAAAAAATAAAAAGTTCTACAACAGGTGACTCTTATAATCACAATCTTTCAGTTTGGGATTTAACGTTTAAATAATAGTTTTGGTCTAATCGTGTGAAATAAAATCCTGAGTGTAATCCTGTGAAATAAAATCTGTGATAAAAAGACTATCCATTATAATGACTAATTTTGTATCAACTTAAAAGCATTTTAAAATTTGTTTTTCTTTCTTTAGGATGGTATCGGCAATGCAACATTATTCCTTATAGCAAAGATGTTGACCTAGGAATTTTTATACAAGATTACAAATCTGATATTATTACAGCATTTCAGGATGCAGGACTTCCACTCAAACACAAATTTGGGAAGGTCAGTAATAAAACTTTAACTGTATAAGTAACATGTCTGAAAAAAAAAGCTTAGATTAAGCAGCTCAAAGATGGTTAAGAACTTTGCACACGTCACTTTATCACTCAGTAAAGGAGCTCTGGTAGCGTAATGGTTATGAATCGGGTTGCTAACCTCAAGGTCAGCAGTTCAAAACTACCAGCTGTTCCGCGGGAGAAAGATGAGGCTTTCTGCTCCCGTAAAGATTTACAGGCTCGGAAACGCTGTACAGGGTCAGTATGAGTCAGAACCAACTCCACGGCACATAACAACAAAAACAATCGACCAGTTTGAGTTTAGACAAATCTTGTTAACCATTTTACAACTTGTGCCCCATTTAGCTAGAAAAGCTAGAAAATCTGACTTTGTCTTGATGATAAAAAGAAAAATTTTAGATTCTTAAAGATAAATTTAGTACAATTGTGGTGGTGGTGTGTGTGGAGTCAGTTCCAACCCATAGCAACCCTGTGTAAGGTTTCTGAGGCTATAAATCTATACAGGAGCAGAAAGCCTCAACTTCTACCACGGAGCAGCTGCTAGTTTCAAACTGTTGACCCTGAGGTTAGCATTCTGACTTGTAACCACTATGCTGCCAGAACTAATTACTACAATTATGTTGTTGTTGTTGTTGTTAAGGGCTGTCGAGTCAGTTCCGACTCATAGTGACCCCGTGTAGAGTTTCTGAGGAGCGGCTGGTGAGTTTGAACTGCCAACCTTGTGGTTCAAACTGACCTTGTGGTTGAGTGCTTATCCTACAGCACCACACCAGGACTCCTACTATAAAATATAGTTAACACAATATGTAATATGCAATTAGTAGTATAAGTAAAATTCCTAGTCCCCTTACCTAAAGCTATATACACTATATCTCATGTATTATTTATTTTATGTGTGATTCTGTAGAATATCATTTGACGTAAATATTCTACTGATTGCCAAGGGGTAGAAATATCATATCATTCCAGACAGAATACTTGAATTCCTTATCTATCTCACATGGTACAGGAAGACTTAGGTCAGCAGTTTTCTCAGTGATCAAGCAGAGATAGGTCATCATGGCCTAGATAAAGTCTCCTTATGGACCATTAACTCCCTAAGTCCTGACTCCATGATCCTGTGCAAATATCTTACTCTTAACATATTCCTTCCCAGGATGATGCTGTCTTAGAAAGCAAGTGGAAGTATCTTCGTTGTTAAGTGCTGTCAGTTCCAACTCATAGCGACCCTTTGTAGGGTTTCTAAGGAGTAGTTGGTGGGTTTGAACCACCAACCTTGTGGTTAGCGGTCCAGTAGCACCACATGAAGACTCCAGAAGTATTTGAAAAAATGCTTTTTCTTGTCATATATATTCATTTCAGTTTATTAAAAAATAATAATAAAGTAATGAAATGTTTTCTGAAGTCAAAGTAGTTCAGCATACATTTAGTGAGCAGTCATTCTGTGTCTGCATTGGGACACAGAGATTACAGTCTTTACCCTGAAGGAGCCCACAGTCTAATTGGGAGAAAAAAGCACAAATAAGTATTTTGTGATACAGGTCAACAGTTCAAACTCACCAGCTGCTCCAGTGTCACTATAAGTCAGAATGACTTGACGGCACTTAACCAGTCTCACCAAGTCAATAGGAACAGAGTTGTTTGTAGGATCATTTTATTTAGGTAAATGCTTTCACAATTCTTTTGTTTTATATCTTCACTTTTAAAGCTTGAAATATATATATTTAAATAATCTATGGAATATGTGTGGATTGTTATAATGTCATATCTACCTAAGTACCTATTGAGTTGAGAGAGGTTTAATTCTTGATAGTAAACTTGGTTGGTTAATAAAGGGAAGTAACTTTTCTTTGGTTCTTTTCTATTTTTAGTAAGAACAGGACACTGAAACAGAATGTTTATTTGCTTTGAGGAATGATAATTCAACCACCCTAAGCCATTTATTTTGAGTTGGCATCATCAAGTGTAAGAAGCAGCATGATTTAGTGTGTATTTAAGAAAGAAGTTAAATGACGGCATGCTGCTGATTATGAGATACATCCCTATTTCAGAGACTTTCCAGTTTGAAAAGCATGTTCGAATCAGTACTCTCTAAAACATTTTTTTTAGAAGAAATGTATTTTCTTTGTTTTATTCTGTGATGATTTTCATCTTCCTCCTAGGTAGAAGACAGCTTGGAACTATCTTTCCAGGGGAAAGATGATGTAAAACTTGACATATTTTTCTTCTATGAAGAGACTGACCATATGTGGAATGGAGGCACTCAGGCCAAAACAGGGAAAAAATTTAAGTATGGATCAGATAAGTATTTATAAAAAAGGATTATAGTAATAACATCAGATGATAGAAAAAGGGAAATAACAAAGTGAAAAACACTTGAGTTGGAGCCAACTCAGTGGCATTTAGCAGCAACAGTCTCCTAAGATTGTTGATGTGATTCAAGATGGTGGATGGTGGGGGGAGGGGGGGGGGACATTGTGTATTTACCTTTTTCCAGGCTCTTTCCATGGAGCAGCAATATTCTGAGTATTTATGCATTTAATCCTCACAACTGTGAAAGAGTCTATGTGAGGCATTGAGAAGTTCAATAATTTGTTGAAGAGCACAAGCAGATAAGTGGAATCAGATTGATGGCAGTCTGTCACTACTAGAGCGCATGCTTCTAACCATACTTCTTCCCTATACACCTGACAATCTCAAGTGCTTAATACAGTGCTTAGTAACTTCTTTGTGAATGGTGGTGATTATTACTATCTCGTTATATTATTAATGTTATAATTACTGTTTTTTCTGTTACTGCCATTATTATCATAGTCATATGACCAATGGCATAAATGCACCTCAGAAATTTGCTCAGATTAGGGCTCCGATCACTGAATAAAATTGAGCCATTGGGCACAGGGGACACTGTTAGTCTAAAGACAGAGGAGGAATGGTGAACCCAGATTGGGTTCTACTTGATAAATTGAAAGGAACCCTGGTAGCGAAATGTATTAAGAGCCTGGCTACTAAGTACAAAGTCAGCAATTTTAATTTACAAGTGTCTCTGCTGTAGAAACCAGCAGAGGCGGAACCATCTCTACAGCACACAACCACCACCAGGCACATTGATCTATTCTAGCTAGGATCTCGAATCCTTATAAGAAGACAGGGTGTCATCTTGTAAGGTTAAACTTGTTCTAGAAGCTTGAGAGTAATCTGTATCTTTTCCTCAAAGTCTTAAACATATCCCCTAATTAATACGAATCCCAGAGTGTATTCTTGAAACTTTTATTTATTGTAAGAACATATTTTTCTTTATGACAGTAAAACTTACGAATGTGGGATACGCTCTGATTATGAGGTTCCTGAAATTAATAAATTACTGAATATATTTTGACAAGTGAATGGGGGCTAGGGGATGTTAAGTGTTTTGACATTGACCTACAGTGCCATCGGATAAGCACTGGACTGCAAACCACAAGGTTGGTAGTTTGAGCCCACTAGCCACTCCATGGAAAAATGAGGTTTTCTGCTCTGCTAAAGATTTGAAGCCTCGGAAACCCTATACACGATCATTGTGAGTCAAAACCAACTGAATGTCACTTAAGAACAATAGTTTACTCAAAATATGATAAAGAAGTTAACTTTATAATTAAGAGACTTTTTTTCATGCTAAGATAGTATAGACTTCTAGTGTTGTGCTGGGCTGTGGACTACAAGGTCGGCAATCGGACTGATTCCATTGTATGTAATCATTGTATGTAATCACTACCACTGCCACCCATATTACCTTGGCAAGTTTCTTAACCTGTCTGTGACTATCCCCTCTATAAAATGGGGATGATAATACAGATTGCCACATAGTTTTTTTAGTTTTTTTTTAATTAAATGTTTTTATTTTGAGATTGAGTGAAAGTTTACAGGGCACATCATCAGCTTCACATTCAACCATTCATATAGCTTGTTTCATTACA